AAAAAAAAAAGAAAAATCAATACAAAACTGCACTCATAAAAGTTACTTTTTTAAAATCTAAAAATTCCCATGAACCATATTGCAAGTCTAGAATGATCCTGCCTTACTTACTCCACTACTTGGGCAGATTCCATCCAAGAACTAGTGCAAATTTTATTGTTTTTATATTGTTTTAAAGACCACATGTACAGACGGAGATACCCATGCACCTCCTCACAGAACCGCTCTTTAAATTCAGTGTCCATCATGTTTTCCTCTGTTCATGTGCACTTACAAAGTAGTGGTCACAACACATTGGAGGGTACACATGGCTTCTGCCCCATGATGGTAGGCCACTCCACACTGCCCCGGACCCCTCCTGCTGTAGTGGGCTCATGTCACTCTTTTGGTCTGCGTGCGGCCATCCCTGACCACCAGGCTTGTGCACTTGGATCAGGTTTTGACAGTCTGATGGAGTCATTTCCAACTGCATAAAACTCAAAAAAAGCAAGCATGCTGACCTTGAGCTGACAGTGATTTCTTTTCTTTAGCTCTAAACTCTCTTTGGCTTGAATAAGCTGTTCATGTGTACATTTGATTATGACGTTCTGTCATGTGCAACTTGTCCCCAACAGGCCATTATAAACAGCACCATCACCCCCAACATGACGTTCACCAAGACATCGCAAAAGTTTGGCCAGTGGGCGGACAGCCGAGCCAACACTGTCTACGGCCTCGGCTTCTCATCAGAGAGCCACCTGGTTAAGGTGAGAAACTGCCGATGCCCTATCAGAAACCAGAGCTCGCTGCTCAGTTGCCAGCCGTGCTGTAGTATCAGTTGTTTCTGTTACTTCAGTTTGCAGAGAAGTTTGCAGAGTTCAAGGAGGCGGCACGGTTAGCCAAGGAGAAGTCTCAGGAGAAGATGGAGCTCACCAGCACGCCCTCTCAGGTAACAGACACTAAAAACACTACCGCTGCCTCAGACCTAGTACCACCACCACAGGTGATGCAGAAGTGCTGGCAACTTGTTGTAATACAAACCCAACCGTTGAGACACTGGGCAAAGTGTAAAAACACAATGCAAGAATTTGCAAATCTTATAATCCCATATTTCCTTCATTATATAACATGAGTGTTTAAACTGAAAAAATCTGCAATTTTAAGAAAAATGCTGGCTCATGTTGATTTTTGACAGCAGAAACACATCTCAAAGAAGTTGGAACAGAGCCGTGTTTGTCACTATGTAGCATCTTCTCTTCTGTTAACGACAGTTTGTAACCATCTGGGAACTGAAATATTAGAGAATATAGACAAAGCTAACACGAGTAAATACAAACTGCAGTTTTTAAATGATGATTTTATTTACCAAGAGAAAAGAGGTATCCACACATACCTGCCCCCTCAATGGAATAACTTGTGCCACTCCTGGCAGCAATAACTGGCAATGAGTCTTTCACGTGACTGTGGAGGAATTTTAGCCCACTCTTCTTTGAAACATTGTATTAATGTAGCTCCATTGGATTTTGTTTTTCTTCTTAGCCTGTTGAGGGTCATGCCAAAGCATTTTAATCAGATTTAAATTTGGATTTTGAGCTGGATACTGAAAGAAAACCTTCATTTGAGGTGGACTTGCTGGTTTGTTTCAGATTGTAAATTGAAAATGAAAATTCTCCTTCATGATTTTCTCAGTAGACATTAGAAATTGTTGTTCCATACGTTTTGGCGTCCCAGGTCCTAAAGCAGCAAAGAAGCCCCAGACTCTCACACTACCACCACCATGTTTGACTGTTGGTATGATCTTTTTATGAAATGTCGTGAGTTTTACAGCAGATGTAACGGGACTCAAACCTACCATCAAGTTCAACTTTTGTCTCATCAGTCTACAGAATATTTTCACAAAAGTTCCCAAGATGTTTGTTGCAAATGTGAGATGAGCTCTTGTGTTCTTTTGGTCAGCAGTGGTTTTCTCAATGGATGCCATTTCTGCCCAGTCTCTGTCTTATACTTAACTCATGAATACTGACCTAAACTGAGGCAAGTGAGGCCTGCAGATTTTTAGAGGTTGTTCTCCTGGATGAGTTGTCAGTGCGCTTTCAGAGTAAACTTTGGTAGACTGGAACCTTGGAAAGGTTCACTACTACGAAGTTTTCTCCATTTGTGGATAATGGCTCGCACCGTGGTTAGTTGGGGTCCAGAAAACCTGAGTTTCTTTAGATTGTAAATGGTAAATGGCCTGTATTTATATAGCGCTTTTCTAGTCTCTAAGGACCCCAAAGGCACTTTACACAACCAGTCATCCACCCATTCACACACTGGTGATGGCAAGCTACATTGTAGCCACATTGTAGCACTGACAGAGGCGAGGCTGCCGGACATGGGCGCCACCGGGCCCTCTGACCACCACCAGTAGGCAACGGGTGAAGTGTCTTGCCCAAGGACACAACGACCGAGACTGTCCAAGCCGGGGCTCGAACCGGCAACCTTCCGATTACAAGACGAACTCCCAACTCTTGAGCCACGATTGTGGTGTGAAGTGTTGCTTTTTGAGATCTGTAAACCTACTTCATTTTGTCAGTTTGTGAATACAATAACTCAAGAACGAAGTGAAAGTGAAAGTGGCCTCTCTAAGAGGATCTCTTTGTACTCAGTCACATTACTGTTACTAGTAAACTTAATTTGTTACAACATGTTCCTCCAGCTGTTTCTTTTGAGTACCCTTAATTTTTGCAGTAGTTTTTTTGTGCCCATCACAACTTTCTTTCAGACGTGTTGTCGTCGAAGTCAAAGTGAGCTTGTTTTTTCTTAAGATGGTACATTTTAATACAGTCTACCACCATCACACTTTTTCAGATACTTGCAAGCCAGGCACGTTATTCGTTCCCAGATTTCAGACTCAAGCCCTCTACCAGGGCCTACACTATTAGAAACTCTCCTACAACTTAGTCCAACCAATATAGGGCTGATCACCGTGCTTTACAATGAAATGTTCAACTTGACACGTACCTCCTCATCCAAACTCAAAACACTATAAGAAGAAGACTTAGACTTAGACTCAGATCTGAATCTGCTAAAGACTGCTGTTTTAAAGTATATATCTCTAATATGGTCACCTGTGTGAGCTGTGAGCACAGAGCCACGCCCATCTACTGTTTAAACCTGCTTACAAGGGGCAGCCAATCAGAAGATAGTTGACTAAAAGGGTGCACACACACCTTTTTTTGACACAGGGTGAACATAGGGGCTGTACAAAGGGTCTGTATAAGATAAGATGATTAAGTATTATTGTGAATCATGCAAAGCTATCAATTCTTAGGTATCTCTATGAGGTGAATGAGAAGTTTCCTTCTTGAGATATTACACATTGTATTTTCTAATATTTAAATGCTACCATTCTACTTGGAGAGCCCTAACTGTGGAAATCGCTGCTGTGTTTGCCGTGTTTTGCTTTTTTGTGTTGTTCTCGGCATCATGCCCACGTTATGCTGCTGTAGCCACTAAGCTAACACCTTGTGTGGCCTGTTTTGCCTCCTTTTGCTCTCCCAAACGATTCGTCCTCAGGGTGGCACCGTAAAAAGGAATGTGTTGTCAGTCAACAAACCTGTTATAAAGAAGGTAAAGACAAATTACTTTGTTGTCTCAGATCTGACAGCACCTTTTCCGAGTCTTCCCTGAGTGTTGACACAAACTGGCGTCTTTGTATCCCCCTTCCTGTTTCCATCACCTTCTGCCCCCTAAGCTAAGCTAACTTGTCGTAGCTTCTTATTTAGCTTACAGATGTGTGTGGTGTCAGTCTTTCAGTCTTAACTTTCAGCATCAATTTCTCAAAGTGTTGAAGTGACATTTTTTTTGTTTGTTTTCTTTTGTTTTTTTCACTTTCACAAATGTGCCAAATCAGGAGTCAGCCCCAGGTGATCTGCAGTCACCTTTGACCTCAGAGAGCATCAACGGTACAGACAATGACAGAGTTACACCAGATACACCTCAGCACCCCGAAGCCAGAGCAGAGCCTTCCCAGAATGCACTGCCCTTCTCACACAGGTAAACCAAAGTTCACTGGATCGCAGAAACAGTCGCACTTCTTGTTTAGTAACGTGTAACATCACTTTTCAGCACTTTATTTTAGTTCAGCTGGGTCTTCATTCATATTAAACAGTCTGGAAGCCTGAAACACAAAGAATTATTCATGGTGGTCAGCTCTAGGGTGCACAGAGAGAAATATTCTGTTGGTTTTGTAGGGCACCTTTTTTCACAACACGCACACTTGAGTGGGAAGATTTATTCTTTATTTTTGAAGCCTCTGTGTAAATGAAAGAAGATGAATTTTCATGGTAACCAAACAGAATCAGCTGTCAAAGAATTATTATTATTATTTTATTACATTTAGCTGTTTTTTGAAATTCCCACATGATCAGCATCTTTGCTCATCCCACCGGAGCACTCCACAGATGCCTTGTTCATTTGTATTATGGTCACAGCAAGCTGAGAAATACTGCACTTGTACATCAGCGCACAGTCCTGGTCCAGCCTTTGATTGGCTCTTTGGGACGGGACAGCCACCATCTTTTCTCTCATAGATTTCCGTTTAGAATAACACGAAGCTGAAAATAAGCACACATGTACACACCTCGTGTATAGTAATAATTACACCAAATGCTGTTGAAAGTCACTGTGGGCTTAAGAACATTCTGAAGGGCGTTTTTCACCTTTTTCCAGTTATTCCCTTTCCTCCTTTGTCCATTTTCAGTTCATCCAGCATTAATAAGCACTGGGAGGCAGAGCTTGCGGCGCTGAAGGGGAACAATGCCAAACTGACGGCGGCTCTTCTTGAATCTACAGCCAATGTCAAACAGTGGAAGCAGCAGCTGGCAGCCTATCAGGAAGAAGCTGAGAGGCTACACAAACGGGTATCACTCTGTCCCTGCACACAGGAAAGTACTCACTGCGTGATCCCATTTTACCATGTCTGAATGCTTTTTCTTTTCCTTTTTGGATTGCAGGTGACGGAGCTGGAGTGCGTGAGCGGCCAAACGACGGGGATTAAATCTCAAAAGACTGAACTCAACCGAACAATAGAAGAGTTGGAGTTGGCTTTGAAGGCTAAAGAGGAGGTACAACGAGTGCTTGTTCGTCCTACTGGGTTGAAGTCGTGGATTTTGCATGCCTGGACTTTGATTGGTGCGTTTACCATCTGTTCTGAGCTGTTCACTCTTTCTGATCATGCTTGCAGGAGTTGGAGAGACTTAAAGCAGAGGTGGAGAGTGCCAATGAGTTTAGGTCCCAAAGAGATTCCCTCATACAGAGGCTACAGGTGAATATTGCTCAATGATCATGTGTTGCATAAAGATTAATGCAGTCTGTAAATAGTGAGTAAAAATAGAAAGAGCAAAAAAAGGACTCCATCTATGACCATCCCAAGTCCAGGAAGTGGTGCCAGATGGGTTGCAGACTTGTCTTTTCCTCATAATAACATCAACAAATATAATAAAATCAATCAATTTGTGCATTATATTAATTTTTGTGAAAACTGCTTGACCACACAGTAACAGATGTTAATAAAACAGTTACAAATGTGGTTCTGTCTTTGGAAACCAGGTGAGGGGTGAAGTGAACTTTTAACGAAGGAGGAGCTTGTTTCAGGCTGTATTTAGTATAAATATTTCAAAAATTCACCGTATATGTAAAACATGGATTGTGGACCAGTATTTCAGCGTCTTTTGGCGGTTGCTATCTTTTTACAAAACCGTATTTTTTAACCAACTGGCACACAGAAGTGCCAAAAACTGCACTTCCTCCATTGGCCACTTAAGTCAGTCCTCATAAAGTATCATGGCTAACTTTACAGCATTAGAAAGAATGCTTATAGCCTGGTAGAGATTAATTTGCAGTGCATCCAGATGTTGGAGTTAGGGGTGTGGCCACAGTGATTGACAGGTTTTCTGATACAGGCAGTTGCAGCTCTACGTCTGCAAGCCCCTTGGCTGTGTGTGTGGTGGTGTTGTCTTTTCAGACGTACTCCAGTCCATGTCACAAACATGTGACTTCAAGCAGATAACTCGAAAGTTTGTTGCTCTATAAAACGGCCCTCTGTGAAGCTAGAACGTCTTATTATCCCTCAGTGCTTGAAGGAAATAAGAACAACCCTGGGTTTCTCTTCAGCACTGTAGCGATATATTCCTTTAACCTTAATGACTTCATGAATGTCTTCACAAATGAAATTTTAACCATTGGAGAAAACAATTATTTATAGCCACCCCACAGACGTATTATTATGTGCAGCAACTTTCAAAACTACTGATATTTATTTAAGCTCTTTCTTTCTGATTGATCCGAGGTAACTTCAGTAATTACTTCCTCTGTTTGTAGACCCCGTTCCTTCAAGACTGCTCAAAGAAGGCTTTGATGTTAAATATGATCAATCTGTATAATGTAATGGACTGCGTATCTGTGGCCAGTGTACTCCTAGTACCCGATAAAAGGGGAGGCTTGTGTCAGGAAGGGCATCCAACGTAAACATTTTTAGAAAATCCAACATGAGGTTCATTAATAAAACGTCCGTACTGCATTGGTTGAAGCCCGAGTTAAAAAATATTACCAGTGCTGCTAACCAGCAAAGACAAAAAAAAAAGTGAATGGGTCACGAAGGCTTCATAAAGGGCTTGTTTAAACTAAACAATGATTTTCAGTGGAGTCCCAAATTACAAATATGAAGCTAAAAATGTGCGTTTTTAAAAAGCGTTGTGTGTCGTTTCTATCAGGAGACGGAGGTGAGAAACCAGACGCTGGAGGCCCAGCTGACTGATCTGGAGCAGCGTCTGGAGAGCAGCCAGCTGGAGCGGGAAGCCTTTCGCAAAAGCCTGCGCTCCCTGCTGGAGCTGCTGGACAGCAAAATCTTTGAGCTGAACGAGCTGCGGGACGCACTGGCCAAGCTGCTGGAGGGCAGCTAGACGGAGAGAGACGAAGACTGTGCCACCACCTCCAACCACCTCCACCAACACAGCAGCCAGCGCCGAGACTTTTACCGCATGTCGGCACTCACCTGCTCACTGACAACTTGAATTCTCTTTTTTTTGTTTTTTTCCTCCCACACGCGTGTAAAGGTTTACACACGACTTTATACTTTAACACACATCCACGCTCAGATCGTTTACAAACCACCATGTGAAGCCTTCCCCTCCGCTCCACTCTGGACAAATCCACAGAAGCTTTCCTCGCTCTACGGAAACATTAAAGGCGAAATTCGCTTTTTTCTTTTAAACGTTGCTTTGGTGCGTTCAAATGCAGTCACTCAGAGTCTGCGATTGTTCTTGTTTTTTTTTCTCTTTTTTTTCCTCTTTCCGACTTTTTTTCCAGGCACAAATCTTTATTAAAACCCACGTCGCCATCAGCCAAATAAACTCTGAGATCCATTCGGTTATTTGTTGTGGGGACTCGACACAAAGAGGATCCAGAGGACGTCGGTATCTATCGTGAAATATTCTTCTGAAATATATGAGCAATACAAAAGGGCAGCACCAGAGGGTTTAAAAAAACATTTTCCACTCTCACTTTCAGGTAATTTTACTCCTCTTGGATACGTTTAAGACAT